TGTAACTTGTTTATTTTTTCCCCCTGCTCCATAATTCTCCCTTCACCCTTTGGGAGTCAACAGGACAGTATGTCAAATTCAGTTTGGGCATGAGGCAATGGTTCATTTTTAATTGCATTTGCTGGATTGGGACTACAAAACTAGGGCTTTTGGTTGACAAGGGGTTCTGCCAGAAGGGACCAAGAGAGATTTGCACAAAGATTGACTTGTTTATTTTTTCCCCCTGCTCCATAATTCTCCCTTCACCCTTTGGGAGTCAACAGGACAGTATGTCAAATTCAGTTTGGGCATGAGGCAATGGTTCATTTTTAATTGCATTTGCTGGATTGGGACTACAAAACTAGGGCTTTTGGTTGACAAGGGGTTCTGCCAGAAGGGACCAAGAGAGATTTGCACAAAGATTGAAGGAAAATGGCCTTTTCCTAGTAGCTAAACTGTTAGTAAATTTACAGCTGATTTTGGAATCACTTTATGAGGAATACAAACTGCAGGACACTATCAAAAATATCACCATTTCTGCCCTTTTGTATATGGCCATTTGCTTATGCAATTACAGTAATTAAATATGCAAATTCTGGTCTCTAAAATGTATTTGTTGTGTTTCAAAGTCAACAGACCACTGAAATAGTTTAAAGTTTTCAAAGAGATTGTTTCCAACATTGGTTCACATTTGCAATGTTATTTTCACGGCTATAAGGGCTATAAACTGCCTTTCCATGAAAACTTGTATTCTGCAGAATCTGTAGCTGTTGTGATGGACAATAGTGTCAGTGGGTTCAAAAAAAGAACAAGGTAAGTTCAGGGAGGAGTGGTCCAGCGGCAGCTATTAGCCAGGATGCTCAGGGATGAAACCCTACACTTTCAGAATAGAGAGGGGTAAATAACGGTGCCCCTCAGAGACTGTACTGGGACCCATGTTCCTCAACATATTCATAAATGACTTGGAAAAAAGTGTAAACAGTGAGGCGGCAAAATTTGTGGATGACCATAAAGAGTTACAAAGGGACCTCACAAAACTGGGTGACTGAGCAACAAAATGGCAGAGGAAATGTAATGTTGATACATACAAAGGAAAATAATCTCAACTATTCCTATAAAATGATGGGGTCTAGATTAGCTGTGGCCACTCAAGAAAGAGATCTTGGAGTCATTGTGGATAGTTCTCAGAAAACAACTGCTCGATGTGCAACAGCAGACAAAAAAGCTCCCAGAATGTTGGGAATCATTAGGAAAGGGATAAATAATAAGAAACAAAATATCGTATTGCCTGTCTATAAATCCATGATACACTCACATCCTGAATACTGCATGCAGTTCTGGTGGCCCCCATCTCAAAAAAGACATATTAGAATTTGAAAAGGTACAGAAAAAGGCAACAAAAATAATTAGGGTTATGGGACAGCTCCCACAGGAAAAGAGATTAATAAGACTGGGACTTTTCAGCTTAGAAAAGAGACAGCTAAGGGGAGAGATGATAAAAGTCTATACAATCATGACTGGTGTGGAGAAAGCAGAATCATAGAATCATAGAACACTAGAACTGGAAAGGACCTTGAGAGGTCATCATGTCCAGTCCCCTGCCCTCATGGCAGGACCCAGTACCATCTAGACCATCCCTGATAGATGTCTATTTAACCTTCTCTTAAATATCTCTAGAGAGGGAGATTCCACAACCTACCTAGGCAACTTATTCCAGGGTTTAACTGCTCTGACAGGAAGTTTTTCCTAACGTCCAACTTAAACCTCCCTTGGTGCAGTTTAAGCCCATTGCTTCTTGTCCTAACCTCAGAGGCAAAGGAGAACAATTTTTCTCCCTCCTCCTTGTGATACCCTTTTAGATACCTGAAAACCTCAATCATGTCCCCTCTCAGTCTTTTCCTTTCCAAACTAAACAAGCTCAATTCTTTCCGTCTTCCTTCATCAGTCATGTTCTCTAGACCTTTAATCATTCTTGTAGCTCTTCTCTGAACCTTCTCAAATTTCCCCACATCTTTCTTGAAACATGGTACCCAGAACTGGACACAATACTCCAATTGAGGCCTAATTAGCGCAGAGTAGAGCGGAAGAATGACTTCTCGTGTCTTGCTCACAACACTACTGTTGTTTTTTTGCAACAGCGTCACACTGTTCACTCATATTTAGCTTGTGGTCCACCATGACTCCCAGATCCTTTTCTACAGTACTCCTTCCTAGACAGTCGCTTCTCAGTCTGTATGTGTGACACTAATTGTTCCTTCCTAAGTGGAGCACTTTGCATTTCTCCTTATTAAACTTCATCCTATTTACCTCAGACCATTTCTCCAGTTTGTCCAGATAATTTTGAATTATGACCCTGTCCTCCAAAATACTTGCAACCTCTCCCAGCTTGGTATCATCTTCAAACTTAATCATCTGTACTCTCTATGCCAATATCTAAATCGTTGATGACGATATTGAACAGAGCCGTTCCCAAAACAGACCCCTGTGGAACCCCACTTGTTATGCCCTTCCAGCAGGATTGTGAACCGTTAATAACTACTCTGAGAATGGTTATCCAGCTAGTTATGCACCCACCTTATAGTAGCCCCATCTAAGTTGTATTTGTCTAGTTTATTGATAAAAATATCATGCCAGACTGTATCAAATGCCTTACTAAAGTCTAGGTGTACCACATCCACCACTTCTCCCTTATCCACAAGACTCGTTTTCCTATCAAAGAAAGCTATCAGATTGGTATGACATGATTTGTTCTTTACAAATCCATGTTGGCTGATTCCAATCACCTTATTATCTTCCAGGTGTCTACAGATGAATTCCTTAATTACTTGCTCCATTATCTTTCCTGGCACAGAAGTTAAACTGTCTGGTCTGTAGTTTCCTGAGTTGTTCTTATTTCCCTTTTTATAGATGGGCACTATATTTGCTCTTTTCCCATCTTCTGGAATCTCTCCCGTCTTCCATGATTTTCCAAAGATGATAGTTAAAGGCTCAGATACCTCCTCTATAAAGTAAATCAGGAAGTGCTGTTTACCCCTCATATTAAAAGAACTAGGGGATCAAACAATGACATTAATAGGCAGCAGGTTTAAAACAAACAAAAGGAAGCATTTCTTTATACGGTGCACAATCAATCTATGGAACTCTTTGGCAGAGGATTTTGTGAAGGCCAAGACTATGAGCTTATCTTCACTTACCCAAGATCAATCTCCCAGGGTTCGATTACGCAAGTCTAGGAAGGACCTGTTAAATTGACTTCTGATGGTGCCACTCCCCCCATTGACCCTGGTACTCCACTGGGTAGCGAGGATTAAGGGAAGTTGATGGGAGAATTTCTCTCGTTGACCTCCTGCAGTGAAGGTGCTGCAGAAATTCAACCTAAGGAACATTGACTCTAGCTACCCTATTTTTGTAGCTGGAGTGGTGTATCTTAGGTCGACTTTCTCTAATAGTGTAGACCTGGCCTATAATAGGGCTAAAAGCAGAAGTAGTTAATTTTACTAAAGATAGGGTGTCCCTACCATTTTCCAGAAGCTAGGAATGGGCGACATGGGATGGATCATTTGATGATTACCTGCCTTGTTCATTCCCTCTGAAGCACTTGGTATTGGCTACTGTCAGAAGACAGGATAGTGGGCAATGTGGACCTATGGCTGTTCTTATGTTCTGGGCATCCCTAAACCTCCGATGACCAGCAGCTGGCACGGGAGGACAGGGGAATCACTCCATAGTTAGCCTGTGTCTGAACACCTCCCTGAAGCTCTGGCACAGGAGACTTTTGGAGACAGGGATAGTGGGCAAAAGGAACTATGGTCTGACCCAGGCTAGCAGCTCTTGTGTTCTTATGTCATGGGATCCACCAGGCTAGGCGGATGGCAAGCCTGGGCCAGAGGAACCACAAGCCACAAAATCAGCCTTCTTGCTTGTAGGGCCTCGTGAATAGCCCTACGTGTCTAAACCCCACACTGGTAGTGAAAGGGTTAAGGGCGGACCAATAACCCAATTAGCCTATCCTGACACCTCAAGGAGGTACAAGGAATTAAGGATTAGACCCAGCTCCGAAGAGCCAGAGTGAATGATTGAAGGAATGGCCAATAAGGCAGGACTGAGAGGAGAGCTACAGTAAGGAGTGTATCCCTTGGGGCTGACCCTGAGGGGAGAAGGTAGGAGGGATGAAGGAAGCTGCCAGAAAGGCTCAGGAGCCAGAGCAATGAGAACCGAGGACTTATGCTCAAGACTGCCCGTCTGGGAGCCACATGCAACACTTCTATTTACTCTTTTTTCATCACAGATGAAGAACCAGAGGACATTGAACTGAAAGGTAACAGATTGGAAACCAATACCAGGGAATGGGGTTTTTTTTGTGCACAGTTAGCCTGTGGAACTCATTGTCGCAAGATCTCTTTGAGGCCACGAGCTTGCAAAATTCACAAATAATTAGGCACTTGCTTGATGGAGAAGCTACATTAGATAGGATCCCTTTAGCACTAGCTCACAGGGGCACTGAATTTGCTTGAAATATAAATTCATAAAACAGAGCCAGCCCAGCCTCTGACATCCTGCTAGAGAATTTTCCTCTGCTTTGACACAGCATCCCAGCTACACTTGCACTTCAGTGGTGTTGTCTAGCCGGGTAACTCAGTTGGGGTGTGTGTGTGTCAGACACTGCCAGCATGGCTCAGCTCAAGGTTCTCTTAAACAAGGACCCTGCCTCTGGCAATGATAAAAAGCAACATGTACAAATATCCCTTCAGTGGTGTTTCTGAAATAGCATGTCCCCCTGATACCCTCTCATCAGAGGCTAGCTTATTCCCTGAAGTAAAAGGGTTATGTCTTAAAATGGTGGGCTTTGGGGAGTCTATTTAATGTAGCTTCTCCATCAAGGAAGTGTCTAATTATCTGTGAATTTGGGCAAGCTCTGGCCTCAATGATACCTTGTGGCAATGAGTTCCAAAGGCTAATTGTGGGTGAAAAAATAGTTCTTGATTGATTTTAAATTTGCTGCCTTTCAGTTCAGTGTCCTCTGGTTCTTCTTCTATGATGAAAAAAGAGTAACTAGAAGTGATTAGGTGTTGTATGTGGGTCTCGCTATCTGAGGAGCCCCCTTAGCATCTTGCAGGGAATGTCAGAACACCCTTCCCATTATGAACAACAATGTCCGGCTGGAGCCAGTGAATATTAAAGCACAGAGACAAGAGTGGCCAATTAGAATATTTATTGGCTTTTTGCTTAGGACAACACCCAGGTGTAGGGATTCATGAAGCATGCATGATGAAGGGTGGGCATCCCACTCTGAGAGGCCTGGCCCCTGCTCTCCTAGGAGACAGTTTATCGATACTTCTCAGTCAGCACCGAAGAAATCTGGGACAGGAACTTGTCCAATGCAGCATGAACTTCCGGGGTGAAGTCGTTGGGAAAGTGGGCGGCCAGAGAGCACAGAATGCAATGGGAAAGCAGCTGCAAGAGAAAAGAGCAGGAGAAAATCACATGGAAAATCACATGCCTGAAATAACACACCTCTGCCTGCTGGGAGCCTGAAACACCAAGCTGCCTGAAATAACACTCCTCTGCCTGCTGGGAGCCTGAAACACCAAGCTGGAGTCTCCTTGCCAGGTAGAGTCTCCTCCAGTGGGTATGAGTTACTGACTGAGAAATCCACCTTTTAGACCAGAGAGAAGTCGTTGCTTCACACTGCTCCTCTTCCTTGTCCTGGGACTATAAAGTAACCAGGAATAATCCTTGCACATACAGAAAGCTTTTCATGCAGGAGCCTGAGTCCTTGGCCAAGCACAGTCAGTATCATTCTCCCCATTTTTGATGGGGGTACAAAGATGTGATGCGATCTGTCTAAGATCAGTGGCTCACAGACCTTTGTTGTGGGCAGGAGGGACTGAACCGGTAACCTTAGGGGTGAAAGCCATGTGCTTCTACAGCATGAGCTAAAAGCCAACTGGCTCTTGGCTAAGACTGTACAGCAGATTTCACTCTCCCTTGCCAAAGATCTCAGTGCATGGCAGCTAGGTCCATCCATGGCTAATAGCCAAGCTGGGCAGGGGTGGTGTCCCTAACCTCTGTTTGCCAGAAACTGGGAATGAGCGACGTGGGGTGGATCCTTTGACAATTGCCCATTCTGTTCATTTCTCCTGGGGCACCTAGCATTGGCTACTGCAGGAAGACAGGATACTGGGCTAGACGGAGCTTTGGTCTGACCCGTGTGGCCCTTCTTATGTTCACTCACCTTGAAGTTCACTGGGTCAACTCGGAGGATGTAGGCATGCAGCTCACTGAGTGTGGCCAAGGCACCTGTAATGTTATCGATGTTCTTAGTAGCCTCCCCAATAGCACTCAGGACCTTGGAGCCATGGCCATGAAGCTGAGCAGAACCTTGGCTGAGATCGAAATGAGGGAAATAGGTCTTGGTTTGGGGGAAGCCTGAAAAAAGCCTGGAAGAGAACATTAGAAATGACTTCAGTAATGGAAATTGCACCAAGCAGCTGATACAGCCCTGAGTCAGGGAGGCCAGGACCCTGGATCGACACTTGCTCCTGCTCTTCTCGTCCAAAACACTGGAACTGGGAAAAGAATGGATTAGAGAAATGCTCTCTAGACTGTTAGTATTTGACTGTACCCTGTGCTGAAATGGGGCTGGAATGGTCAAACGTTACAGGCCAGCAGTTCTACAGGAGCGGTTTGTAATCTTATTTCTTTGTTTTAGGAAAAGAGTGATAGACCAAATTCATCCCTGGTGTTTACAGTTGTAAATCAATGGAGTCTCACCAAGAAGAATTCTTGGCTAAGCCATGTTTAGATTTACACGCTGAAAAGTATTTTACAAGCATTTTCAACTTACTTTCTTCTTTGAGCTAAATAACCTAATACTTCCCCACAGCCATCCTCATCCTCTGTAGTATATTTTCTGCAGCAGAACCAAATTGCATTTCCCAATGATAGCAGAATCTATAGTGAATACTCTCTATAGTCAGATATTTCATGTCCAGAATCTTTGCTTCAATCAGTATAAGTGAAGCTTACATAGCCAAAAAGGGCCATGAAAAGATTTAAAATGAACTGCTTGAATATCACAAACCTGGGACTAGTCTTCACCTGAAGAAACCAAACATTGTTCCCAGGTTCTTTCCCTCCCTTTGTATCAGCTTGTTTAGACAATTAGCTGTGGATGGATTTTTACTGGAAGGAGTACAGAGCTCTTGGGCCGTAAGGTGGGTCACCCCCAAACTTCAGCTGGTTCATTTGAAATGGGATGTTTGGGGAAAATGTCCCCTTTACTTAACATACATTTCATATAATACTTCAAATCCATTAGTCCTGGCTCTACCAATAAAAGGCTGGCTAGTTGTATTTACAGCAAACCTTCCGTGACCCTACAAGCCTATGTGGTTTCCAGTGATATGCACTTCATGGGGGTGTCTACTTCTCCTGCTAATCTGTTACACATCAAATGGAATGTTGAGACATGTTCCAAGCATCCTGCTTGAATACCCCATCACAAGCACTGCCCTGCACTTGCCACTAGAAATTGCATCATTCACATAATAACCCCCTCCCACGTGCCTTTTCTTTTCATGTTCAGCTCATACCAGTGATAACCTTTGCACTCGGCATTATCTGGGTATCAGTGGCCGTGTGGAGTCACTCTCCGGAGCTCCGCCCAGCTGGCATCCATGGAAAGTGAATAAAACAGAATATTCTTTCTTTTGGGGTTTGAAATCATCCCGCAGGATTGGACAGCAGGGATATTATTCTCTGTTAAACTCCATAGAGTGTTAGAGTCATTTCTATAGAGCGCTGCTGTATTCTACAGGACTTTCCATGAGGGTTATTCTCCAGGAAAAGCTGAGGCCCTCAATCACCAATGTTTGAAGGATACCCTTAAAATCTGCCCTCTCAAGAGCTTCATTGTCTCTGATTTCCCCAGGCTTCTGAACTACAGACCCACATTCACCCCTGGCACAAACTTTACCCCCGAGTGTGTCCACCAGGGTGAAATCTGAGACAGGCCCACAGAATCTAAGCAAAGATAGCACATCACTTACCTCTCCAGTGACTCGGCCCCAATGGCATTAGCATGGGTAGCGACCTTTTCCCAAATGGCAACCACTGCCGCCTTCTCAGCTTGAGTCAGAGTCATCGTTGCTGGGGGGTTGTGAGATCAGCCTCCTTGCAATGGTCACTCGGACAGGCCTGTGCTGATCATCCTCGCAGCCCCCTTATAAAGGGGACGGAGAGAGCAGAACTTGGCAGCTGTCCATTGCCATTGGTCACTTCTGGGGCCCACCCCGTGAGGAAGGGCTCTCTTATCTCTCTGGGAAACAATCCTTGTCCTGCCCTGGATTGTTCACTGGGAGGCGTTATCATTTTCTCACATCTTAACGCAGCAGTGTGGTGGCCTGGGGAAATGAACCGGCTGCAGGGGCAGAGATGAGCAAACAGACAGTACTGAGAATCGTAATGACAAGGTGGAAAACATCAGGCCTAAGAGCAAGGAGGGAATCATCCATGTGTTTTACAGATGTGCTAACAGGCTCGGAGAGAAACGAATGCAATGACAGGCCACTGCTTTTCAGGGAATACATGGGGACAGAGCAGGGTGTGCTAAGTGTAGACTGTGGATGAAATCCTGCCTGCACTGAAGTCAATGGGAGTTAACCCTGTATTGCTCCTGCCAAGTATTATTCACAAGTAATTTACCATTACTACATAGCACTAGCTACAAAAAATGACACCACTTCAGATTTAAAAACATCTCATGGAAGCAGCGGTATTTTGTATAAACACACACAAACACACACTCACTCGCATACACATCTTGCTGGGTTGAGTAGGGTTCTATGTGTGTGGGGGGGGCATATGTAAACCACGCATCCAGGGTGGTTCACTGTCCCATGTAGTGGCACTCAGATCACTTAGAACAAGAGGTAAGAACAAGGGAGTGCTACAGCTTAAGCTGAGAGCCAGCTGGCTTTGTTGCTCAAGCTGTAAAGGCTCCTATGCTGAGGTCTCAGGTTCAAGTCTGCCTGGTGGTAGTTATATATATATATATGCAAAATATTATGATGAATTAACTACACATCTCAAGGCCTCTGGACCACACTACCTGCATATGAGTAGTCCTGTGGCACCTTAGAGACTAACAAAAATATATACAGTGAAGCCTTTGTTATCTGGCACTCTGGTAACCAGAAAACTTTGTTAACCAGCATTGCCCCTAGCCACAATACTGTCACATCACATCTTCAGGTGCACAGGCCTGGCTTGGTTTACCATGATTGGCTTAACAATTTTTTATTTAAGAGGTACTAATCATCTTTAACTCAAAATAGAAATGTGAGACCAACTGCCTCACACTATTAAAAACTTACGTTTTATTATTATTGTCCATTGGTTTTCCTAGGTTGATGAGACCCTCAGATAAATGGAATTTTTAGATAACCAGATCCTAATCCCCAAGCATGCTGGATAACACAGGTTTTACTGTCCATAGCATCATGGGCTTCTTCAGATGAGCTTGAGTGGAGGACAAAAAATCATTGGTGTAAAGGAATCTCTCTAGAGCTCATGGCTGGAGTACTTAATTCTTCAGGTCTTTCATTCCTCGATGTATAATTCTGACAATTGTTTATCTATATGGTGGGATAGCAGAGAAGGCCGGGAGCCTATTGTGCTCCAGCTGTACTAAAACACAGGAGGACATGAAGAGCTCATGGTCTAAACACATAGAAATAAGCGAGGTACGGGGGTGAGAGGAGGAGGGTGACTGAACAAGGGGATGGCTGGCTTATGTCTAGATTCACTAGGCAGCCAAGAGAGGCTGGGAGAACTGCCAGGTCCTGCAGTTAGACACAGTTTCAAAGAACTGCCCCTCCAGAGAAGAAAGCTTGTGTGTTTGCAAGAAGGAACCCCTTGTCCCTGTGCCTGCAACACTGGCTACAGCAGACCCATCTGCCACCAAGATTAAGGGCATGTCTACACTACAGCGTTATTTTGAAATATCTTATTTCGAAATAGTTATTTCGAAATAAGTTATTTTGAAATAACACGTCTACACAGAAAATACATTTCAAAATAGCGTTTTGCTATTTCGAAATAGCACGTCTACACTGAGTGGACGCTGAATCGCATTTAAGGCCTGCCAGAACCAGGTCCGGCAGGGCATCAGATCAAGAGTTACTTTGTATGGCTGCTGACTGAGGCTATCTGAAGCCTGTGCTTAAAGGGACCCTCCCCCCACCCAGACAGCTGGTTCTCAGGTTTCCCTGCTTGCTTACCTACCTCAATGAGGGAGAGCAAAGCATTTTGTCCCTGTATGCTCTGGTTGCCCTCACCCGGGACACCACAGCACTTTGCAACATGGAGCCAGAGCTGCTCCTGGGCACTCTGGTGCTTCACTTGGACACATTGCTGCGAGCCTGGCTGCACTTTCTGCAGGCTGCCATCCGGGAGGTCTATCAGGGGGCTGTCAGTATCCAGGAGGCCCTGCGGGAGAGCTTCCATTCTGAGGAGCACTAAGAGCCTCCCTGGTCTGCCCCACTGGGGGTTTGTGCCTCGTTCCTCCCTCACGTCCTTCCACTTACCCCTCCCTAACCCCCCTTCCTGATGTCCAATAAAATACATGTATTTTCATGAACACAAACTTTCTTTATTTAACAAGACTGGGGAAAGGAGGCTGGAGAGGTGAGAAGAGAGGGTGGGAGAGGGGAAGGGGAAACCAGGGAGGAGGGAGCTGGAAGGGGGAAGCAAGGGGAAGAAGGGGGAGGAGAAGCTCAGGGCTCAGGGTTGGGGGTCTCGCCGGACCAACTTGATTTTCATGCGAACCTGCTCCTGGGTTTTCATGTGGCCTTTGGTGGCCAGGCTGGCAGCTATCCTGCCATAGACGCCCCAATGCAAAGTGATGTACAAATGATGTCCACCATCCTTCAAGTAGCCCCATGCACAAGGATTCCTGTGCCACATGGCCCCATTGGCTTCAACCAGGCTGCCCACAGGCAGGGTCTGCCTTAGGATTTATGGGGTCATACACAGTACTATTAAACAGGTGCCCCTATGCCTGATGGAAGCTCAGAGAGGGGGATAATTTTTTAGAGATATGATATTATCATCTTCAGCACCATACCCATGATATATTTTTAAAGCAAATTTTAACACAGTAAATTCAGAAACTGTCAGTATATACCTGTGGTTAGCAAATGTCTGTTAAATGGTTTCATTACCACTCAAATGCTTCTTTCACAGGTCCAGTGTTCCACTAATAAGTCTGGCAGGCTTTTTCGCTTTTAAGTTAACTGGATCCTCTAAGAAGGAAGCAAAGCCACAGAACGGAGATAGGACGAGGTGGGTAGATATTAAGACCCAGTGGAAAGGGGGAGAGAGTGGAGACCAAAGTTGTTGAGCCGTCAGCCTTGCAGAATGAGGTAAGTATGGGGGCTGAGGGGATCAAGGGGGGGAGGCAAGTTGCTTGGATCCTCTAAGAAGGAAGCAAAGCCACAGAACGGAGATAGGACGAGGTGGGTAGATATTAAGACCCAGTGGTGCCCCACATTTTCAGATGCCCTGATCTGCTGCGTATTTTGCGCATGGGTAAGGATGGCCCTGCTAGCTTCCATGCACCACTAATTCATGGACTCCTGCCACTGGCGAAGCAGTAAGCCCTGTGCCTATGCTGTGGCAAGCATTGGTCCTCAGGCCTCTGTAGGAGCATGGGAGGCTCTGCTACTCCCGGACAGCAGTAATAGATTAGCAGGTGTCTCCAGATAATGGTGAGGCAGGCTGCCCAGTAGGAGGTTTCTCTCTGGGAGCCCCACCAACTGGGACTAGTGCAGTGAAGGCTGGTGGCTTGAGTGTTTCCATTTTGATGAGGCTGCAGTTGACTCTTGACTCCCTTGCCTATTGGAATGGACATTTCCTCCAACTGGTCTCTGTCTCTGGGATTTTGCAGTAAGTCTGTGCCCTTTATGATGGCCATATTTGGGGCTCGGAAGGCATTTTTCTCTGGGTCAGAGAGATCCAACTGGATGCTCTAACCACTGGACTACAGACCCATGCTAGCTTGTGTGCACTCATCCTTCCAGGGTGGCCCAGGGCTACTTCTAAAAAAGGAATAAGGGATCTTTCGGAAAAGGCTTTATTTTCCAAAAGATCCCCGTCTAGACTGGCGCTTTTTTCCGGCAAAGCTCCGAGCCGGCAAATGAAGTGGGGGGATTTAAATCCCCGCTTCATTTGCAATTGCGATGTGTCTAATTTGCATCCCTTTTATGGAAAAGGGATGCAGTCTAGACACAGCCAATGGGGGCAGAGAGGAGAAGGCTTTGCATGCTCCCCTGCCTAGGGTTGCCAGATGGTTTAACTAAAAATACCGAATCCCCCTCCCCCCCCCCCAAAAAAAACAGGGGAAAAATTGTTGGGAAAAAAAAGGGAGACCAAAGTCGTTGAGAGGAAAAAAAAAAAAAAGGACCTCGAGAGTTATTAAGCAAAAACAATAGTGTTGCCCCTTTAAGAAAAGCCTTTGAACCTTTTTGCTGGCTGTCATCTTGTTTTCCTGATTGAACCAGAAGACAGCTTCCCTGCGGGACCAGGTAAGTGGGGAGATCTGGGGGGCTCAAGGGCCTGAGGGGTGCTCGGAGGGCCTGGGGGGGTGCCTCTGGGGCTGAACCCAGTTGCTGAGTGTGTCGTGGGGTTGCCAGGTGTCTGGTATTTTTGCCTCCTGGCAGGGAAAAAATCAGAAAATACCGGACATTTTAAATATTGTCTGAATTTTTTTTACTGGACAGGAGACGAAAATACCGGACTGTCCGGGTCAATGCTGGAAACCTGGCAATCCTACCCCCACCACCAGGCCAATAAGGGAGAGTGAGTTGCATGAAGCTTCCTTCGCCCTGCCCCAGCCCTGCAAGGAGCCCGCAGCACTTCAAAGCACCATGCTCCCCCGCCCCCCAGCCCTAATTGGTCTGGGGGTGGGGGAGCGTGCCAAGCCTCTTCCAGGGCATGGGTGCCTAGTGGTAAGGGGGGGCCAAGGGGGTCCCCCACTCCCAGACCAATCATGGTCTGGGGGAGGGGTAGCCCTGCTCATTCCCATTTAGGCCCCGCCCCTTCCAGGGTGGCCCAGGGCTACTTCAAAAAATTTGAAGTGGCCCCCCAGGGAAAAATTATTGCCCACTCCTGCTTTACATAATGGGAATTTTTAGAAGGAAATATGTATGAC